ATACTAATCAAATGTGTATTTTGGGAAATTCATTTAAAAAAAAAAGAGACATAAGGGATAGGGGACTGGAGACATATTGGTTTATGGGATTATATTGCTCAAGACATTGGAAGGAGACAGACGGAAATAGGGGTGGGAATATTACTGTAGGTACTGTGGATAATGTTGTAGAATATTGTAGAAGAGTTGGTAGATATGTGGTTACTAAAGGGGATTGAGGATTTGGAGGGAAATTGTAATCACACTGCCTTAAATGTAGATATGAATAATGTTTTCGTCATTCTCGTCTTCTTCCTGATCATTAACGGGATTGGTGGTGTTGGTTTCCGGTTCTTCGGGAGGTGGACGTGCAACACGCTTCATCGGACGAGTTTTTATCGGATTTCCATCTCTCTTCTTCTTCTTTCTATGCGTTTTGGCCTTTCTGACACGTGTAACTTTTTTTCCATTCTGGAAAAACATTCGGATTTATCATTTGTGGACGGTCAACTTCTCCACATCTTGTATTCTTACGTCAACAATGAGTAAGGTTTTGAAACAAGAAAACATAGATTTGCGATAGTAATCTTGTAAATTTAACGGTTGAAATTTACTGAAAAATGCAAGGAAGAATACTGAATAAATAAATAAATATTAACTGTGTACTTGTCGCATATCTATCGCATATTACCCGAAAAAATAAGTAAATCAGTAAAACGATTAATTAGTCTACAAACTTACATCTCCAAATTCGTCAACTTTCGGTTTTCGTTCGCGAAACCAGTAGCGCTGGCCTGACACAGTGAATTCGTTCGTTGCGAGTGCTGCATCCGTGCTGGATTCCAGTCCGGCTTGCGCATTCCCGCTCATTCCTACTTCAGGATCAGGCGGAACCGTAACCGAGGTTAATTCGTCAAGGCCACGCACCTCTTCCATCATATGGCTTTCACTCTTTTCCTGATCTTTGGGAGAATTATTTCCGCGGTCCGGAGAGGGAGTATCCGTAACAGCGTTATTCCCATTGTGGATAACAATTTCTAACCCAGAGTTGGATGAATCAATTGGGGTACTATGACATAGCGGAATTGGTGAATGGGTAAGGGAAAATTCGGCAACAAGTGAGACATCTCCACAAGCACCAATCGTAGATGGCGGTCCTCTTGCGAGAATTTCATCGTCGAGGTCCATACCGCCGGGAGAGCTAGGTGATGACAAGCCGTGCCGCGCAATGATGACTGGAGTAATAAAGTTGAAGCGAGTCAATTCTTCTACCATTAAAAGGAAAATGTTTTCCGTTTAATCAATATGCAAATTTTAGTTGCATCATTTCTGTGAAGACTGTAGCAATGAAGTCTTCACAGCGCGTCATATGTCTCGTATGCAAATTTTATATGGGTGAAAAATGCATTTGCAAGTTTGTTTGAAAATTGATACAAATCTTAAAAGATTAATATTGTTAAAAATTACTTTTTCTTATCAATTCCTTGCATTCTTCATCATTTATACTGTACCAATTTTTATTGATAAAAATATTTCTTCTTCCACAATGATGAAGGAAGAAGTTTACAAGCTTCACAAAGGAGCAATTAAATCCTTTTCATGAATAAAATCTTGGAAATAACTTGTACAAAGTGTTTCTCCTAAAGTGCCATCGAAGGATTAATCCTTTTTTATTATTCTCAGCCTTAGTTAACCAAGTTTATTTACCTTTCATGCATTTAATCTTTTGAAAGTTTTTTGAAATCATCCAACTTTACTAATTCAACTATCAATATTCACAGCTATATTTTATTTTTCCTTGTCAAGACTTATTGGAATTTGATTTAATGAAAGTGAAGGATTATTGTGTTTCTAATTAGTTTTTATCATCTTTTATTTGAAAATATACGCCGTATTACAGCTTTTTTTTTACTGAAACTTTTACTTTTATGATAAAGAGACAGAGAGGAGTGGGGGATGAAAACAACTTCAGCTTATATTAATAATGATAAGATAAATGATAACACTAACCATATCATTTAAATTTGATTGTACCAAGTAAAAGTAGTAATACTCATATATGTTGTATGAAGATATAATTATTGATTGCATAATTTAATAAGTCTGTTTAGCAACTAAATTTTGATGAAACTATTG